CTCTCTGTATGAATTCCCTGCCTGCCTACCTTTTTGGTGTGTTTTGCTTGGTTTCTGGGTGGTTGCAGTCTATACCACTAGAGAGCAGTAGAGAGCAGGGACCGCCCAGGCTAAGATACCTAGGACCTACAAAGGTATGCATAATATAGTCCTGACTGACTCCTATCCCAGTCATGCACTCCACCCCATGCCCAGCTTTCCAGTCCAGAAACCATGGTGTCCATACAGCCACCCATCCCTCTATCCTCTACATCCCCGTGTTACTGAGACCTGTTCTGCCTGCACCACGGAAGGTCTGCTGGCCCTCCTCCACACCTGTCAGAGTAGTGTCCCTTACAAGGAAGTCTTAGCCCAGCCTTGAACTTCTTTACCCTTTGCTGGCTAAGATCTATGACTTCTAAAGGTGCCTAGGAACACAGGAGCAAAACCCCCCACCCTCTCCTGGAGCTGCAGGACCTGTGAGGACTGACTGCTTCTGTGGAACACACTCGCTGGGCCACTAGAGCTCAGTGTAAACTCTGGGTACAAGCCCTAGTTTGTCAGGTTCCATTCGGGTTCCATTCGGGGGCCATAGCTCTTCCCTACTTACGTGGGCATCTTGAACTTCCTCACACAAGCCGGTAGTGTACCCTTCCTCATGGGTCCACCATTGCCTCATCCTCAGCACAGGACACAGACAAGTCCCCGCTCACAGCCCAATGCAGCTGCCTTCTAGAAAGTAAGCCAGTCACCAGGAGTGAAGGCAATAACCGGTGTGCAAGCCTAAGGCATGCTGGATGCCTGCTCTGTCCTTTGCCACGCCACAGATTTCCTGCCCCTGGGAGTTTCCCTTCAGACAGACTTGAGGTGGCACAGGTTGCTTTTCCTTTTAAAATATTCAGGTTGGCGGCTGTGCTAACCGGCAAAGCGTTCCCCACACAAGAACGCTAACCTGCCTGAAAATCGACCTGCTCCTCTTTGTTCTAGGGCACAAAATATTTCGTGTGCAAAAAAAATCCCTCTGAGACCAATGTATCGATCTGAGGTAGAAGGGCTGTCTTTTAACATTCTAGTTCTTTTCATCTAAACTTTTAGGAGTGTCCTCTGTGCACACGGGTTTATTTCAAATTAAAAGTAGGTGGGATTACATATTAATAATCCAAACAGCATAACACCACCCAGTTTAAATAGCTTTGCCCTTTGGACTGCTGACCCAGCCAAAAACCAGCTCAGCCCTCCACGGATAGATGATGACGCTCATTGCCCACACCCAGCCTGGCAGAAATTCACAGCTTGCTATTCGGGTCACCTGTTGGGGCACCCAGGTCTGTATGCCATGTCTTTGGGGGATATCCCATACACAGTCACCCTGCAGACCATGTGTAGACAAGCTGTAAATGTGGCCTTGGCTGATCTGGACCCATGGGGGTGCCATGCTGGGCCCTGAGCCTGGTTTTCCCCTGCAGCATCAGCTTCACGGAGCTGATAAAAACAGCCTAACTGTGTTGTCTGGAGCGCTGAGTACCTTTGCCTTGACAGGGATCATGTTTATCTCAGTGTATCCTAGCGTCGGCCACGCAGTCCTCACACCCCAGGAGACAGTTTAAGAGTAAGAGTGGCAAGTGACAGGCTCACAAGCAGTGCAAATGTACACTTGCTGTTTGGAACATTTGAGAAACACACAGTAATTTACACTGGGAAGGCATTTGCGCTCTGCACTGACAAACTTAGCAGCTAACTGGTAAAATGGCAAGCGGGGACGTTTGTGGGCAGGGGGTATTTGTGGCTTCAAAGTCTCATTCCCCAGAGCTGTATTTTCCACAGATATATCTCCTGCTCTTGCCGGGCAATGACCCCATGCATCCACAATATTTAGCCTGTATTTTTGTAAGGCAAGCCGACTGCAATTCCTCTTGGCCCATTAGTGTGACACCACCCTCCCCTCCCCCAACGCAAAAAGAACTGTGAGGACAACTGATGTCTCTCCATGGACAAGATTTTCCTACCCAACCAGCAGCTCTTCCAGCAGCAAAAGGAGAAGCGGAGGTCAAGAGGTCATCAGAGGACAGGAAATGATGTGAATTCAGGAACGGCCTGATTCAGACAGAGCAACAGCACCAGACAGGAAGACCACTTGTAGCACTGAGCATCCACAATATGCCAACTCCTGCTTGGGAGGTTCCTTATCACCCTGGCCTACTAGCCCAAGACAGGTCTGTAGCTTCCAGATGCTTGAGTGAGGGGGATTGGCTAGGGCAGGATCGAGCACATGGTGTTGGGGTTCAGACAAGTGTCTACTTAGTGCATGAGCAGATGAAAGAAAATGAACACAGGGTTTGCTTTCTGACAAGAGAGTTGCAATGCGCATTTTTCCAAGCAGCAGCTGGACTCAGCAGCCCGTGCATGACAGTTTGTTTGGCTGACAAAAAGATCAAAGCGGAAGGAAAAAAAATGGATACAAACTCCACAGGGACACATCTGAATACCTTTATGTATTTTCACATCCTTGGAGAATACACAGGCTATTTCCAAAAAGCTCCCGCCACCCCCAACCCAGAAAACTGCCAAGTTTCAGATACTTTAGAAATTGAGACCCAGGTGGCCTGTTCTTTGGCCACAGACAGAAACAGGAGCCCTAAAAGTGTGTGGTACAGGGGACAGGGGGGGGGGTAGCAGCCTTCCCTCGGCATCAACTTCCTCTCCCACTTTTGAGTCAGGCTGTCTACAAGTACCCTAGCAGAATTCTATGCAAAGCCAAAGAAGCCTTGAGCTTCCATCCACACCCAAGAGTGAGCAACTAGGCACACCAGGGTCAGCTTCTCCAGACTGGGGCCATATACAGAGCAGATCCCTGGGAGAGCAACCCTCCCCCACCAAGGCAGGGTGCCCTTTATCACCCAAGACAATTCAGAACTCTCTGGAGCAGCTCATCTTAATTCAGAACCATAATTCCTATCACAATGCCAGCCCCATCCCCAGACAAAGACAGCATCTTCAGATAACACACAAACACAAACCCTAACCTAAAAAAAAAAAAAAAAAAAAAAAAAAAAAAAAGTGTTCTAGCCAAACCCAGCTCATGCACAGCAACTTGGCACTGTCAAATACTGTGGCCTACAAGTGTGCCCTTGAACGTGCCTAAACACACACTGGCATGCACGCACAAGTTTCCAAAAGAGAAAAGATATTTATTTTGTAAAGGGGGAAAAATGAAATGTACATCAGGAAGAAGGCCCAGGGCAAGTCCCGTCATAGGTCTTAGGTTTATTCCAACAACCTAAGGGAATCTATGGGCCAAACCTTCTCCCACCCAGAGCCAATCCATTGAGTCCCTTTTGAGAAGTGTAGTTAATCTCTCCTGACCACACTCGAAGGGGGGCGGAGGGGAATACAAGATTATACATAACTGCTCAAAGCACAGTGCCCTATACAAATCACTGAAACACAGATGGGGCCGGGGAGGCAGACACCCTAGGGAAGGAAGCCTCAGAACTACAGGTCAGCTGTGAGCCTGTGAGGAGTCCACACCCTTTGAGGCAATCCAGTGAACTAGCAAGCCTAAGCAGTGATTTGCTGAACGCTGCCTGCAGATGTGTGAGTGACCATTGGGACATGTGGTCACCATGAACTGGCCCAGGGCTGGGAAGCAGGATTGCAGGAGTCAACCCAGTCCTGCAGGGAACATGATTCACCCTCTTGGTGGCTGTGTCCTCGGGGCTCCAGGGCATGCCCTGGTGCTGAGGAGGGTCTCAACCCAGGCATCCCATGTCCCACAGACGAGTTCCACCCTGGTCAAGGGTTGAATGGTACTTGGGAGCAGTAGCAGGAAAGCTCACTGCAACCTGGCAGAGTGTCTGCCTGAAGAAAGCAAGAAGGCAAAAGCGCGGCTTTCCAGCGAGATGCAGACAAAGGCTCAGTGCGCACGCGGTGGACGGTGGCACCGAATCTATGCTCAGGGCCCAGCGGATGCCAGGGTCTTCCAATTTCCCATGGATGTGCCCTCTCAGAGCGCAGACTCTCCCACCAGGGCCCACCTGGTCCCCTCCCGAGCCAGTATTCTGGTCCTCACCCTGCTCGCCCTCCATCCACAACCGCAGCGACTCCTTCCTCTGCGCATCTGGAGCAGCCTCTTCCCTCAACATCTCCTGCCTGCCTCCTTCCTTCCAGGGAAGCTGTGCCTTGACTTCTCTGATCAATCTTGTAGTCGCCCCCCACCCCTCCCCATGACACGCCTTCTGCTGCTCCTTCCTCAGTAGGCTTTCAACCCCGCGCCCAGAAGTGGAGAGGCAGAACGGTAAAGCTACTGTCCTCCCGCGGGTCCCAGCGAACCAGAGGTGTCTCTTTCTTCCATGCTAATGCCCCATTGTTCCTCCGCTTGCTTTACCCACCCAAGCATCACCAGCTACCAAGAATCTGCATGAGGTGGGCTGGGGGGATGCCTCCTCTTCCTGAGGGCGGGTGCATCCAGTTCCATACCACTGGTCCATTGAGCCAGAACACGGCCACCGCAGGCGCGGGCACAATCTTTCCCTTACATTTGGAAGCCCTGGGTCCCAGAGCCCTGCTTGCCTCCACCGCAGCCGGAGGAATCCAGTGGTTTGGATCCCCGGGACCCCCAGTAGAAGGAAGCGTACACACTCCAGTCTAGTGGTCACAGACTGGAGAGAATCGTGGAACAATCGGTGACAAACTTAATGGTATAAATAATGCGCCAGGTCAGTGTTGCCAGGGACAGGTCTAGGGAAACAGGTTAGTTTCTAAATGCCTGGATCCCAACACCCTCCTCTGCGCTCACGCGGGGCTTGGGAAAGCCGGGTGTCCCTACGCTGACGGCGGTCCCGAACGACCCGGAGGTGCCACCAGCTTCCTGGGGTCCACCGGCCGATCTCGGCCGGTTGCACACGCACCTTGCCGGCCACCCACCGCCACAGCTTCCCGACCCCACGATCCAAGGCCCCGAGTCGACCCCACCACGCGAGAAACCGCCCGGGCCGCTGGGGATGTGGGGCCGGAGCACTTACTGGGGCTGAGGAAACACTCGGTCAGCCTTCGGAAGCAACTCGCATTGTTAGAAGGTCCATCTTCCATGTCGGAGCCGAAGAGCAGCGGCCAAGCGGTGGCGAGGGGGAAGGCGGCGCCTCGGGGCCGCCACGGAGTTCGGCCACCGGCGACAGAGCCGGGGCCGAGGCCAGGGCAGCCCCCGCCGGCGCCCGGAAAGCCCGGGGAGTCTGTGCGGCGCGCGCCCGGGAGGAGGGGGAGCCGCGGCGGCGGCGGCGGTGGCCGGGGCCCGGCACGGGCTGGGAGCAGCAAGCCTAGGATCGCAGGCGAGAGGAAGAGCCGCCGCCGCCCGCCGCTGCCACCGCCGCTGCGGTGACTACTGCCGGGGGGGACGCTCAAGGGAGCTGCCTCTTGTCCTCCTCCTCCTCCTCCGCCAGCATCGCCGCCGCCGCCTCCTCCCGCCGCCGCTGCGCCCTCCCTTCTCGGGAGACGCACGGGGAGGTGGAAGGCAGATGAGGAGGGGACAAGAGGGGGAGGGGGCAGGGGGGGCGGCGGCCACAAGTACCAGGAAGATGAAAAGGAGGAGGAGGGGACAGGGGAGGAGAAGGCGAGCGCCGAGGGAGCGCGGGCCGCCACCCAGCCGCAGCCGCGGGCGCTGAGCACGGAGAGGGCGCTGGGGCCCCCAGCGAGGCTGGCGTGGCCTGCGGGAGACCGGGACCGGGACAGGGGCGGGGGCGCCGCCGGCTCCTCCCGGCCGCAGCCAGGCGGCTCCCGGGCCAGGCTCAGGCCCACTGCACTCCGCCCGCTGGCCTCGCCGCGCCGGGGATCCTGGCGGACTTGGCTGCCGCCGGGCCCGTCCCCAGCCGCTGGCAGCGGGGCCTGGGGGCGGGGAGCGAGCCGCTCCTCCGGGCTGGCCATGGCCCTCCTCCCCAGCCTGCAAGGGGGCAGGCGGGAGGGCGCGGCGGCCCGGACTCGGCGGGCTCCGCCCCCGCAGCACCAGCCCTCCCCGCCGCGCACAGGCTCCGATCCCGTCCGCTTCTGGGGTCTTGGGTGCCTCTCCAGCTGGGGTGGAGGGGGGGGGGGTTCACATCCTATTTCCTTTGGGATTCAAGAGGACCCCGGGCTGGGGACGAGTCCCGAGTCGCAGCGCCTCGGTGTGGGCCGAGGCGCACAATCCTCGTCCTTCCCCGCCGGGCGAGGGGCTCTGCGGGGACGCTGCCCGCGGGCGTGGCGTGGTGTGTGCGCGCTCGGAAGCCTGAGCCGCGGCGACTGCTCCGAAGCAGCGGAGAAAAGCGCCGCAGTGCCGCTGCCCGTGGAGGCGGCGGCGGTGGCGGCGGCAGAAGACGCCCACTGGCGGAGCAGGCGCTCCCCGCGCCGCCGCCGCCCGCGCCCACGTTGCGCGTCCGCTGGGACTCGGCCCCGCCGCGCCAGGCCCCAGTACCCCAGCACTCTGCGCATGGTGTTTGCCCCTGGCCGGCCCGTCTCCCTGGCAGTGGCACATCTGGGTCTGGCGTTCCAAAATCTAAGCCCACAGCCTGGCAGCTGTTCCAGCAATGTGCGAGCCACATCCGCCTGCGGGTGACCTGAGCCAGGGAATCCTCCCTTTAGCCGGCTAGCAGGATCTACGAAGCAGGGTTCGACCAGAGCTCCCTCAGGGAAATTCAAATTCGGACACTTAGCAGGAGTTTCAAACCAAGGCAGAGTTCCCATTAGGTCTCATAAAGGCGGTTCGTCCTGCAACTGCCTTTCCCATACCGGTTTTTAAACAAATTTTGTGTGCATCAGCCCATTTTGTCCCGATGGGGCTAGAAGATGGAAAGAACAAACTAGGGCTCAAACAAGAAACTTTGGGAGTCCATAGCTCTAACACTTAGAGACCATCTGTCGCCAGCAGCTTACTTGGCTACCCTACTGCAGCAGCCTGCAGTCCGGCCGCCCCTGTAGAAGGAAACTGGCCCAAATACGTCCTCTGTTGAAAGTGGGGCTCGGTTTACTACCCAGAAAGCACAAGAGCACGTGTTGGCATTCGGCGCTCGCCTGCAGACACCATCCCTGCACACCAGGTTTGGGTGTGGAGCAGTGTTCTTTCCGTAGATAGAATAGTCAGGGTCATCTTCCCGGACGGACGGAGAGCGTGCGCGCTCTAGCCCAGCATGGAAGCAAGCGCGTGCTGCGGCTGACCCAGGGCTGAGATTCCTGGCTTTCGACCTGCCAGGGGACCGTCTCTCCTCATCAGAATTTTCTTTTTTTATTCAGACCTTTTCATGGTTTTGGTCCGCAGCTAGCTCCACGTTCTTCCGCAGTGAAATCTTGTCCCGACTCCCATCTCCAAACCCCTAAGAGTGGAAAACAAACAGTCACAGTTGCACCGGATCGACCAGGTGGCATTCCAGGGACGCAGTGCTTCGGGAGTTCTCTCCCACATAAAGTTCCCGGGCGTTTTGGAAATTCTGGGACAGACCGACTCAGCCTGTCGTGGGAGCCAGTCCATCTTAGCTAGGGATCCCTGAGTTTGGGAAACAAGAAAGCAAAGTGGTACTATGAGTCTTACCTTGGTGGCTAAGGGTGCAGAGATACTGTTTTCTCTTTTCCCAAGCCCTGACCCCAGTGAAGAAGGGGGGGGGGATAGAACCATTGGTGCTACCCAGGTTTCTAGCTGCACCTCAGTCTTTCGTCTTGTGAACTGCACAGCCCGGACCCTTGCTTGCTTTGCTGAGAGCTTCTGTTAGTGCTGGTTTCCCGGGACTGGATGCTCCTGCAAAAGCGATTAGGCAAAGAGGGTTTCTCCTTGAAGAGTTAATCGTTCTTTCTTTACCGGGCGCGCCTTTTCTCCATGCCGCTTAAGGCTTATCAGTTGTTGGTTTCAGAGTTATTAAAAACGGTTTTCCAGGTACAGAAAAATTTAATTCTAGGTGGACGCGAGCTACCTTCAAATCGCAGAAGGCAGGTGAAAAGCATAAAATATTTGTTCTATTCGTCTTTGTTAGATTCAAACTCTCGTTAACGCGTTTCCAGAGTGAGCCTTTTTCCTATTTTCCATCCAGTTCCCCGCACTGCTTGCCTGAAGGGACCCCTATCCTGAACAAATTAAAAAGTCGCAACGTGTAACGACGGGCGGCTCGGAGAAGGTGTAAATAAGCAATTACATTTTGATCAGCCCCCCCTTTAACCGGCTTCCACAGTTACTCATTTGTCTTCTAGGCACCTGGCCACTTTGAATTCCGAACACAGATCCGGTGTCGGATGTGGCATCCCTCTTCCCTCTGGCGTTTCTCTGCGGATACGCCTTGCAAGACCTTGTCCCTGCAAACCCCGTGTGAACAAACACACCACTGAGCTTCCAGGACTGCTGAGGTGCTATTCCTAAACTTGGCCGCGTAGTTAGTGTTGGAATGACAACGGATTGTACCTCGACTGGACGGCAACTGTGGATGTTAAGAGTGCCAGGCAAAGGGAACCAACCAGGCGCCCAGCTGTCTCAATGCTCTCGGTAAAAATGATTCTCCTCACCTCAGGTGGAGTGTCAGCCCAACTTGCAGGGACAGAAAACTAAAAGAACAGTAAGACAGCAGTTAGAAGTTAGCACCAGCAGACACCAGACTTAACCTAATGTTTATTACGCGCTCTTAAAATACATCGTTTAAGGAAGCACCCAAGAAACATGGAAATAATAGCTTGCCTTCAAAAACGTATTTTTAAAAATTATCTAGAGCTAATAACCATCATGGCTAATATTTGGTTAAACTTATTGATAGACTTACAGGTCAGTATTTTTCAACAGATTTCTGTAACTTTTGTATCATTTTCTGGGGAGGGGGGCTCTTTCTTTTAAAATGCTAACAACCTTGGTTTATTAACATATGAAAACCAAGGTTAATTAAATGTTAAGCTGGCTTATTTAAATAGACAAGGTGTGTGTGTGTGTGTGTGTGTGTGTGTGTGTGTGTGTGTGTGTGTGTGTGCCCCTTTCTCTGTACCTTGATTTTAACTTCTAGAACTTGTTTACAACACAGAGCTGAACTTTAAAGCTGCTGGCTACTGTGGACCAGTTCACACTCATATCATTTAACTGCTAGTGATCCGCAGTACTGTTTACACAGACCTACCTTCTGTGTTCTAATAAGATGATTTACCCACTGTCTGGTGTGGAAATGTGGAGTCCCTTCGGAGCTGACTCCCTTAGAATGACTCACCAGGAAGTTCCCTTCCATTTCCCTCACCCTCAGCCCAGCACAGTTTTGTTTCTAGACTACTGGGACTTAGTTCTTGCCAACACATCTCAAGAGTGTTACTGCCTGTGTAGCTTACACTGACAATTCCATTTTAAACAGCCTGGCACCCGAGGTGGGGTGGGGGTGGGGATTGCTATCCCATAACATTTAATAAAAGACAAACAGACACTCCTTCCTCCCTGTCATCTGCTAAAAAGTTACAAATTTCTATTATTGGTTATGTTAACAAACCTTTCTAAAGGGACAGTGGTATTCTTACAGTACTGTTATAGTAAAGCCTAAAAGGAATAAAGAGGACATTATAATTCTAGTAAGAAAAATATTATTGAAGTTAATGCTAGGATGGGGAAGTCTTGAAAACAAACCAGAGATGTTAAATAAATAAATAAATAATTTCCTCAGTTACTATTTAAGTTTCTATCTCACCAATCAAGCATTCATTATTAGACAAGTTTTAATGTTATTGTTTTATGTGATAAAAACAACTGGCCTGTATAGTTTGCATTATTCTTTCCATAGGACATATCAGGATACTGTCTAGTTATTTTGGTTTTGGTTTGTTACAATATGAATACTCCACATAAATCTCAAGTGTTCATTTCTTCAGAAGAACAGGTTATGTGTATTTTTTGACAGTAATTGGGTCCAAGCAGAAATATTTACTGGTCAAAACTGTAATGTTCAATTTCTGCATGACAATACGTTTTGCACAGTTGCTATAAGGATCTATGAGTCCTAAGAGGGTACTGTGTCAGTAAGTACTGCTGAGGTTTTATAAAGGTGAATATTTAGTTACTGGGATAGCCTTGTTAACTTTTAACAACACTCCAACATGACACTGATGCTTAACCACCCACAACCAAGTTTCAAAGTTTTGCCTTTAAACAGTATCAAATCCCTGCAGAAACCCATGGCATTTATAGGATACTGTCTCTCAGGGCTCAAGGCCACATAGAAGTTGGAACACAACAAGGAGCTCTGTTTAAATAACCAGAATTGCCACCAAACTTTCACAAATAAGATACAATGATTTCATTTCAAAGCAAAGAGAACGTTGTGTCTCAAAAACTCAATAATAAACCTAAAATAATCCTTCCAGAGAACTGAAGGTCATTCACACTGGAGTAGGAAGCCGGGGGAGAGACATCAGGGATACAGAATACCTCCAATATGGTCTATCCTGAACCCTAGGTATCAATGTGTATTCAAGTATTTGAGAAGGAAGTACCCATACTCTGACTCCACCCTCCATGCCCATGGCTCAGAGCCCTACACAAGATGTCATGCGATGTGTATTTTCTTCGTTTGTTATGTGAGAATCTTGGCAATATTTTTTAATCTAATTTAAAAGTAAAATTTGTTTACTTATTAATTTATTATGTGTGTACACACCTCACAGGTGCATGGGTGAGCTGGGGGTAGAGTCTGCATGCCCATGCCATGTAGCATGTATAAAGCTCAGGGAACAACTTACTAGACTTTCTTTTCTCTTCTTCTACTGTGTGAGTCCCAGGGATTGAATTCAGGTCACCAGGCTTAGTGACAAGGAGCCTTTATTAGCTTAGCATCTTCCTTTTAATTGTCAAACTTTGATTATGGACCTCCACAAGATTATTAAGGATCTGAGGCAGTTATAAGAGAAAAAGAAACACTGTTAGATTTGACAGCTCAGTCTCCAAAACTGTCTGAATGGTTCCTTCATCCTGGAATTGATTTCTTTCTGTTCTTCTTAAAAGTAAGGGCAACATGACTCAGGGCACAGGTGGGCATGTCGATTCTTGTCTCATTTGACCAGAATTAGACAGGCATTTTTGGATGTAAGTCTGCA